ATATTATTGTATCGATGGGAAAACCTGTTATTCGATATCGCGTTATTGCGCTGATCAAAAACCTCCTGGGAGTATATTCACATTTTATATTTTCTACAAATACAATTTTTCGATAAATGCGTAAAATCCACAGTTAAATTCTCTCTTTTTCCATTTGAGACCCACGTTCCAGCTAGTCCACAAAAAAATCTATCATAAAATGGCTCTAGCTTATAAAGATTAATCTCTAAGAATAAACTAACGGAAGACAGTAGTAATAGAGATAAATAGATAGATAGGCAGACGGAGTAGAAATAGAAAAAAAAAAGATAGACACTCTACCAGCACCGAACGTATCTCGTTCGGTTCTTATTTCGTACTTGGTCTCTTGATCGAGTATCATAAGATCGGTCTGGGGGTATCCGGGTTTCATCTTGACAAAGAAGTGGGAGATAAAACAGGGCTCGTGCGATCACGCGAAGGGAAAAGAAAAAAGTGAGGCAAAAGTCATTCCTCTCGTACAGTTTAAAGGAAAGAAAAAAAAAATAAAACATCCAGAAAGGGCTTGTTTAAAAAGTGAAGCAGATGAGAATTCGAAAAATCTTATCAGCAAATCCGTAGACGTGGTAGTTCCGATTCTTCCTTATCGAACAGCGGAGAGAATAACACGGGGATGCAGGGGAAAGATAAATAGAGAGAAATACAGGCGGAAACGGTTATCCGTTCTCCAAGTTGCGCAAACTTGAATCTCGGTTCCGGGTTCGCCGAGTTTCTAACGAAGAAACGGCAGGGGGGGGGAGAGAGAGAGAAAGAGAAGCGGGTGGTTCCATCGTTCTTTATCCTTCTCCTTTTCATTTCTCGGTTAAACCGCGAGGGTTCGAGGGAGAAGTGGGTATGCAATAGTTTCGCGCGTTCTTCAAAGCTCCCGAGGTCGTCTCGGTATCCGAGAAAGCGCACAGGGTGTCAATGCACAGGCATGCACAAGCGACAAGTCAACCCAATGGCAGAAGCTTGCGAGTCGAGTGAGAAATTGCTCCTGACGAATAACTTGTTATTTATAACTTCGTATGATTCCGTCATATTTATTCTTGTATTTCTGACTTCGTGACGAAGTCAGTTACTACTGGACAATTTTAAATGATATTTCTGACTTAAAACTTGGTTTCTATAATACCAGGAACAAGTTCTCGCTTCATTGACAATTATCTGAAGCGCATGCGAACGATGCGAGATACGTGGAATTAAGGAAAATGGCTGAGAACAGGCAAATCAGTGATAGTGTTCATAAATCCATAACACCGGTGATCGTGTCGGTGGGTGGATGGACGGTTACGTGAGAGAAAGACAGAAACAGAGAGACAGAAAGAGGAAGAGAGAAATCGTGTGTAAGAGCCTGAGGTCGCCGAACGAAGACAGACGCGATCTGCGATTCGTGTGACCGGGCAGAGTCGATGCAGTGATAAGAAAGGCGAGTGAAAAGAACAAGTGGACAGACACACAGAGACACGAGCGAAGAAGTGGACCGTGTCGAGCAAAATCCAATAAAAATGAAAAGATGGAAACAATCGAAAACGGTGCACAGTGTACGAATCCAAGTGTATACGTGTACAAGATGTGATAAAGAAAAAGAATACAGATAAAGAGTAAAACAAGAAAATTAGATATTTACCAGAATAATATGCTTGTCTCTTTTTTTTTTTTCTCTGTTTGTCTCGACTTACGTTTTTTTTACAGCGTGGTGACGTGTGAGAGGTCGCTGCATACTCTTGTGTGCTTGTTGCATCGTTTATGTGGATGGATGCTTCGCTAAACTAATCTAATCTCACTAAGTCGCTAATCCGCTACCAAATTCGCTCGCTCAATGAACAAACGTCGCGGCGACAGTGACACGTTTATGGCGCTTATGGGTGATCCGAACCGTGAGGAGAAGCGCGATGGACTATCGACGGTTGCACGCGTCCGGCTGGAACCGCCCTTTGTTTAAATAATTCTCTATCTCCTTCAATCGTCCGAACAAAATTAACACTGCCGAGAGATCGTAAAAATATCTGCCGACGATTGTTTTCAAATCTGTCAGTCACGCACCTATTAAACGCGTAGTAGTAAGAGCGGTTCCAGCTGAATCACGAAGAAAAGCTCCTACTGATAAACTACTAACAAGTTCTCTCATAATAATTAAAAACCCAGAGGTAGAAAACGGGACGAAATAAGCTTGAGTAACGGAAAAGAAGCGGAAGCGGCGCGAGACGAATTGCGAATTAAATCCTCGATCGAATTTCCTAATTTTCTCTCGGTTAACCCAGGAAAAGTCGATACCGAAATGTACGGATTTCCGGGGTTAACTTCCGCAAGTAATTTCGGCCACTCTATTACCCGAGCTCGACTTTCTCATTGTGCCACGCTAATTGCACACTACTGGCTAACGGACCGAGACGTGGTAGTGGTCGCCATTAAGACTTTTAACACTAGAACTATAAAGTCTCTGTATTACCTTCGAATAAAAAATAGACAAAATGCAGTGCTGGACAACTCCTTTACTGACGCATTTCCTCGTACAAAACGATGAATCAACTGATTCCATTAAAAATGAAATAAAATCGTGATTTGTTGAAATTCAATGAGCTTCATGAAATACAAAATGTAGTAAATGAATAATCAGTTCTCTGCATAATTGATTTATTTTAATATTCAATTTCTGATCGATGATAGTTCTAATGTTAACTAACTCGTGAATTTAATACCGCGGAAGCGATATCCTCGCAGGGTACGTGGGAGAAGCGTGGAAGAAACGAAAATCGAGAGAAACTGTTAAACAATCAACTATTAATTAAGACTAATGCCGATCCCTTTCGACGGTGGTGGTCACGCGAGAAGACGATTCTAAACTTTCTCTGTCTAACTCGGTACCGTCCGATTCTACTTCGGTCTGACCGATTTAACTGCGTACTACTGAGAACCGTACCGATCAGCGTTGATTATTCTACTTGACACTCGTCAATTGAAACGTGGAACGTGTTATGGATTTGTGAGCATCGTGTGTGATGAGCGTCGATTCAACGTTCCTCGCAGCTGTTCTACGAATTACTGTTGCATTGATAGGGGATTCCAGCGCAATTAAAAGTGTAATGTAATCGCTGTGGGTGTAGATCGTTTCATGAGTCGTTCAACATCCATGGTCGAGCGTACCGTTAAAACGTCCCACGGAATTATTTTCAAATACTTCCTTTCATTACGCGTACAAATTAATTTGTACTCTCCAGTTCCATGAATCCCGACGTTTATTCGGAGCCACGAATTCATTTATACACTCGATATTAAAATCTCGCGTATTTTCGAAATGAATGGACAAATCGAAGACTTATGAAATGATCGGACGTTCGAAGCTTTCACAAGCACTAAACTGCTTTTGAAAGTCTCGAGCGGAGGTGTATCTATGTGTCGCATACTGAAAGCGAATCAAAAAAAAAAAAGAAGGAACTTTATTTCGTGTCGATTAAAAATCAACTACTAAAATTGCCGACTATGTATTGATCGTTGACGTTACTCGGAGGGTCAGAGAAATCAATAATAAGAAATCGAAAGGGAATAACAACAGGTTGAAGCAGACGATCTGCTTCTGAATCCAATTGTTACGGCGGTGCTCTGTCAGAGTATCGGCCGTTCTGTGCTCGAGTGTACCTACTCGTGTTTGACTCGAGAATCAATTCACTCCGTGATAAAGTGTCTGAATCTTGAAAGCGAATGAGACCCATTGTCAGTTGGTGTTTTCGGTGTAAAACGGGACGAAAAGGGGAAAACTTGGTTACATGCATGCCGAGGATCGCCAGGATCGCGCTCTCTTCTTTTCTTTTATTTCTTCAATAACAATCTCAGAATTTAAATTTTCACGACAAATAAGACTATAAAATAAGAATATTCACAATTTCATGAGTATCTTTATTAATTAGGATTGAATCTTAACAAATCTAAGCAATAAATAATATTTAATCTAATTTCTTTCTTAAACCATGTGCCTACATTCTTCTGATGTATTACATAGTTTACTATTTACTGTTGTGAACTCTATCTTTAAATAAAAATACATATGTATGAAACTTTATAATTAATATCGGACTACGAATTTCTATAGAAAATTGCATACGCGAAATATTTCATTGTAAAGTTTATTTCAAACTAATTTGCAACGAGAGAACGATCCTGTGATATGATCCTTGACGATACTGTTCTGGGAATTGATGCGAAAAACGAATGCTTTCTGTCGTATCAAATGTACCGCAAAGAAAAGAGCAGTTCAAAGCTGATACCGGGGAGAATAATGTTCCGGAAACACACCGAGTACATTCAACTTTCTTTTTTTTTCATAAATAATACCTATCATCCTAATACTTGGGGAGATTGTTATAACGGTTTTCGTGTGCTCCAATTGCGATTAATCAAAGACAGTCCGGCAAGAACAGCTAGCAAGGGGTGTATGGTATGACAAGGAAACACTAGATTGAAAATTCTGGGACTGTACACGATTTCTCGTTGAATGAGATGGTATAATCTACTAGCGATTAGCCAGAGTCGTTGGTAGGCGACGAGAGATAGTCACTGTACGCATAGCCAGAAATTTTCCGAGTAGCAAGTCGGTAGAATCGTCGGTAGAAAGGCGATACTCTTCGCCTGGTACAAGAGAGAGAGAGGGGGGTCGGGGAGGGCCGCGGTAGAACGGGTCGAGAATAAGTAGCACAAAGTCTACAAAGAGGTGAAGAGAAACAGATTTCGCCAAAGAGACGTAGTATCAGCTCCATTGCGAATTCGGTGGACAATTACGAGCAAAGCCCTTCTACGTTTCTAAAGGGTGGACACGGCTCTCGTGATTGTTACAGAGGTACGTTTGTTCGGGTTGTCCTCTTCAAAGCGAGGTAATGGGACCAACAAGAGACGACGTTTGGGAATTGGAAAAAGGAGCAACTTTTTTCCCGGTAATGATTGTATCCACCCGTTACTTTAATGTCGCGTCTCATCAAAATTATTGATTCCATTAAAAAAAATCTGAATTTTTTTTAAACAGTTCATGATTTATCGTAGAATTTGTTCTATACGATTTATGCGTAATGATGTGTTTTCTCGAGAAAAGAAATTGATACGGTCGACTATAAAAGAAAAGTCGTATTAGTTTCGTAGCAATGAACGAACGAACCTCTGCAACAAGAGACGTTCACGATACCTAGATCGGTAATCGGGGCACAGATGTACGTAAATATAAGGTGAATCGTGACTTGAGAGAGCCATGGATTGAAAGGAGGTGTAAAGCAACGAGAGAGGGACGATACTCATCTACTCGAGCTATTGTCCAACGATCGATTTGCACGTGAGCAGGAGTACTATCTCTCTAATAATAGGCCGATATGCGCGCGCAAGTACCTTCCCTCGCGACTTCGTTACACAATCTTTTCTTTCCAAGAATTCTCGTTCATATTTATTTATACTTTATCGAAAGGAAGATCCCTTCGATGTATCGAATGGCACAAAAATTAAGAAACCCTTCAGACGATTTGATGTACTAAGTAAAAAGTAAAAAAACTGAGTCTAATTTACAACTGCATAGATTTTATGAAGTCTAATAAATCCAAGTCGTTTGATTCAATTTGAAATAATTATAGTAAATTTCTTGTTTCCTGTTAGAATACGTTCCCTTATTTGCAGTAATTTGTGGATTCATAACGCGACAAATCCGTTGGAAACGTGTTTCTTAACTTTCGTGAAGGTGTCAGCAAAGTTGAGAGAATAATTGATAGTCAGTCCTCGCGCAGGTTCCAGGAAATCCCATGGAACCTATCCCGAGCCAGTTAGCAGTTTAAAACTTGATCCCCCCGGCGAAGAGCGAAATGTAAATTCGGAATCGGCGCGAAATTATCCCCTTTCGCAATTCCGATCCGGTGGGATGGCGGCGCGAAAATCCAGTTACAGTAGAAACGGATAAATTCGGGTTCGAGCCATTAGTAGGACCGCGCCCGGGAGAGAATTAACTGTCCCGGTTCGAGACGATTAACGAGCTCGAAAGAGGCTCGCAACTACTATACTCGCCGCGCGTACGCGCGGAATCGCGCGCTGAGTCGAGAGGAATTCGATCATACGAGCGACTAATTCGATGCTATTCGTCCCAAGTAACGAGTCGTACTTATTACGTTATACGAGTTCCAAGTAACCAGTCGTTACGTCGAGATTCAAGAACCTGGTAGAGATCCCCGAGTGGATTATTATTTAACCCACTTAAATCGTTAATCGAACGTTACTAACGCTTGAGAATATTCTTGATCAAACTCGAGAATTCTCGATCAGCGGATTCCGAGCGTACACGGTCACGTGTATAATCGGAGAAAGAGAGAAAGAGAGTGAGAGAGATAGAGTGAGAAAAAGAGATATCTAGGGAAAAAGAGAAGGCACCGTCGTCGGTGCAACCAGGCCCCAGAAAAAAGACTCTCGATACCGAGTGGCAATGTAAAAATTAGGGGTTATCAGGGTGTACATTCTCGGGGATACCCTCTGGAGAGGGTAGTATAGTGAACTACGTACAAAAATAGGGGGGGAGGCTAGAAGAGAAGATTTCGGATCTTTCTTTGATTAGAAGCGAGTGTGGATTTGGTGGGTGGTGTCCTACCTTTCGGGTCATCGTCCTCGATCGTTGTGCTGCTGTCCGTCGATTCCTTCACCTGAGAGCCATCGCCCTTCTTCGTGATGATGCTCCGACCTGGAGCACGCAGAGCGTTTCAGTATAATCGGGGTGATCATTCACGTGGACGGTGTGCGGAAATACATATTATTGTGATTGATAGAGAATAAACAGTGAAAGAGAGATAGATAGATAGATAGACAGAGAGAGAGAGTGAGAGAGTCAACGAGAAATATAGACAAAGAGAAGTAACAGTTGGCATAGAACACAGGAGGCTATTGGAAAGAATCGTGTTCGTTTTTCGTTTCACAAGGATAGCGAATAAAGCGCACATCACGAGGTTTAGGATATTTTTCTGGGAGAAGAGACAGCGATCTGAGAAAATCTAGCGATCAAGAAAATCGCCTGTAGTAAGATGCTCCGCTTACATCATATCTTCCTATCGTATCACCGTTGGTTGCATCACGATTGCGTATCATCGTTGCGTATCATACACGTGTACTGATTCGATTGAGAAACTTTATGAAAGTGAATCGCGATTTGTTAGAATGCAGGAGTGCATTGACTCGATAAGCTCGATTAAATAAAAACGAAATAAGATCTTGCGTGCGATTTATTATATGATTTGATGTGCAACGATGTGACTGTCGTTCATTTGTAATGATACGCAATGACGATATATCATAGGAAATGCGATCATTTATAGGAGAGAGTGAGAGAGAGAGAGGGAGAGAGTTCCCTTTGATTCGGAACAATTAGTAAATGGAATAACCGAGTTGCTCAAGAGATTTCCAACGAGGAAAGGTGCGTCGTAGGTATTCTGATTTGAGAGAATTACGAAGGAGCCAGTGAAAAAATTTCAACGAGGAATTTATGAAGGAAACAACGTCGTCGTCGAGCGCGATCCAGCTCGGTCGCTTCTTTCCTTCCAGGACGTGAATTATTCTATCAAGAGCAGTTCCCGTGAAAATGGGGCTCAAAGGAAACGGTAAACGTCGTGGTGAGATTGGAACCGAGCCGGTGTGGAACAATGCCCACGAGCGTACCGGGAACCACCTATCCTCCTTTCTTTCTTCCTTACAAAGGGCTCTCGTTGATTATGGAACGTCGTCGGAGAATCAAATGTTATACCGTGAAACATAGTGCTCCTCTAAGTAAAAAACAGCAGCGAGAATTTTCCCGGAGGGGGAGGGATAAGAGAAAGTTAATGCGAACAAGACAATTTCGTGCGAACGTATCTCGATCGCTAGATGGAATCGCGGAAGGCGACAGGAACTCTAGGAACAAATATTCGCTCATCGATTGGAATCGACTTAACAATATTTCCAAAAATCTATTTCCCAGAATAAAAATTTATCGTTAGTTCGATCCCGTGATAAGAAGATATCGTCGTCCGTGTCAGCTGAGCAGTTGCATTTCTACGAAAAATCAAATAGAGGGGAGATAGAAGAGAAGCGACAGTTTTGGATCGTTGCTAGATCTTCGAGAAACCGATCGATCGGTCACTGTTTCCAGAGAAGAAGAAACGCGAGGAGGGTGGATGGGGGAGAAGAGGGAGAGCCGGGGAACGCAAGGTGGAAAAACACTGAGAAAAGTGCACGTGTTCCGCATGCGAGGCAATCGTGATCGAGCAACTCCACAAAATCCGAGCAACTCTGCCGATGCTCTCAAGACGACGAATCAGTGCCAGGAGAAAGGGGGAAAAGATTCTCTCGTTTTTACCTTCTGGCGGCCCCTCTCGAGAGCACGGCTTCGTTCCGTGGCAGCGAAGCGACGAAAAACGGTTTTGCAATAACCAAAACAGACAACGAAAAAGAGAAGAGAAAGTATATCATAATAGCTGCATGCTGCGTGCGATTGCGTGTCAACATCTTTTTCAAGGATGTTTTCTGTTGGTTACGATGCTGTGTTGCGGCAAATTAACATTTTAAAGGTCAGACCATTCGTTTGGTTCCCTTCCTTCATCTTTCTTTCTATTGTACAGTTGGACAACGTCGATCCTTTTTTACCTTAGTTGTAAAAAATAACGAAATCGATCGTTGATCAATTTAATATATAATTAAAAATAGACAGAACGTGGAAATTAACACTTAACTACTATAATTCTCACGTCACTTCTCTTATAATAATAAAAATAATAGATAATTAACAGAACAAGGTATTTAATATATTTAATATTCTTTAATTGGATTAATGTCGAAGCAATTGGATCTGATTTGAGTTTCAACGTGTATAGTAGTTAAGGTTCGATGGAGGAACTTGAGGCAGTTGTCTAAATCAAAAAATGGATAAACAAGATTCTGTTTTCGACGAGAAGGTAATTACACGGTGCCAATTAGACGGATATCGCGTGTGCCGGGGCACGAATTGTTTCTGCGAGGTTAAAATAATCTCGTGAGGGTGAAAGAGGAGAAGACAGGGAACGGGATGGAGGACTCTCGGTTACGACGCGACGCGACAGATAAATACTCCGGCGAAAACTCCTCCCCGGGGTGTAATATCCGTGTACTTTCGGGGCTGAATTCGTGCCGGAAGTGCGGCGCGTATTCTTTATCTTTTTCCGCCAGCCGGCTCCGTTTCCGTCGAGGCAACGCCATTTCTCTGCGCGTTAAATTCTCCTCTTCTTTCATTTTCCGACTCGATTTACTGCGGTTAAATTAGTTGCAGTCAACGGATGAAATTTACTCGCATGTACCTTTTCACATTTCTTCACTTTTCTTTATACACCAATGTTACTATTCCTTTCATGTCTATCTACTCAGTTAGCGTATGTGAAATCGTCTCTTTCAAAAAGATTGTAGAATTTTATTCTAACAATTTATTAGTTTGCACATTTCTAAGTAATTAAATAATTTTTTCGTTTCAGAGACAAAAATATATAATATCTTTTAAAATTTTTTAATTACACATCGAAAACTGATGATTTAATTAGAGTAACTGCAATTTATTGAACTTCTAAATGGGAATATAAAAAGAATTTGCAATCTCGATTAACTCGGAGGAAAAATCGAGCGGAAACGGGTTGCCTCGAACCTATTTTCGCGGCGATACTATTCCATTTGATAAGAAATTCGAACAACGGGAGTTAGGATAGCGGAGAACCAGGCGTGAAGCGAAATGAAAAAAGAAAAAGCGAGGCGTAAAGCGCAGCCATGCCAAATGCGAGGCGCGGGAACGATTGTTCGTCCGGAATATTCCTCCCTCGAGCTTCGTTCAAAATTGTTCCCTTTGAGAATTCGTTCGACAGACCATTCACACGATTCCGTTATATATCGTCCGAATTCTGATCGGTCGTTCACCGTTAAATATAAATTGTAATCAACAGCGACAGTAACAGTCTCTAAAATTAATGGGAATACGAACGAAAAGTACAAACTGGATATGGTATGCTCGAGATTTGAAATTGCTCGATCGTCGGAATTTCTGGACGAAACGTATCGTTGCAAATAAATTCCTACGGCGCTCGCGTGTAGATATGTATGTGTGGTGAAGTGATTTGCAAGCACGGCTTATCGTTATCAATTGGAAAAAAGAATTCTTCTCTCAATTGAAAGAGTGATATATAATTTCAGAGACGAAGGGTTAATGTCCTTGCACCTCCGACCCACTTCGCGTAGCTTGTCAAAAATAATCAGTCAATAGAGAAGTATAGACAGACAGAAATGGATTCAGATAGTAGGGAAAGAGAGAGAAAGAGAGAGTGAGAGAAAGAGAAGGAAAAAATACAGAGGAGGGAAAGCATAGACCGAGAGAGAACGATCGATCGTTGACTCCCGTCCGGAAAAACCGAATTTCGGTACAATATTCATGGAGATCCGTTGCCCCCATCCACCAGACAAAATTCATGAATTCTTTTTTGCCAAGACCCGACAATTTATCGTCGCTTGCCTCCGGTTTATATTTATCCATATACGTACACTTGGAGCCAGCAGAGGGTGTGTTAAATATAAATCTACCCTCGCATAAATTCCGACACCGTTTAGAAGCTCGTCGACGTCTACGGATTTATCGATTCGATGAATTTCCGAGAGGCCGGAGCTCTTGCGACTTCATTGAAAAACGAAACGAGTCTCTCTACCGTCTCAGGCTTTTCATTCTGTCAAATACGTTTCGCAAGTGAAACGTAAAGCACCTTTAAATTGAAAAGAAACGCGATAATTTTATACCTCCTGTGTATCGTTCGCGTTGCAAATATGCGCAAGATAAAAAAGAGACCCACTCGTTAATAAATAAGAATAATCTTTGATTGATTCACGATTTTTCCATAAAAAAGAAGTAAAAACGGTTTCGTGGCGTCTATTATTCCCGCAAGCAAGGCGATTATCGAACACCGATAAACGCGTTCAGCATTTTTCAATTCACTGCGACGAAACCTGCGAATAATAATTCCATCCGCGTTCTCATTGATTTTCGATCAGCCAAAGAAAGACGAAGAGCGGCACTAAATAAAGGAGAACGCATACGGAACGAGATCCTCGATCGATCGCTGACGTTTTCAGAGGGATTAGAAAGGAAAATAAGGTACGCAGTTTTCGTAAGCTTCTGAAGAAAGAGATAAAGTATTTGAGAAAAATAGGTTTCATGAGTCTGGTGACTGTTTCTCAACACCCATCGACTTCTCATCGATTTGCACGACTTCGTTTCCATTGTTTCGCGCATTGGCCATTGTCACGTTACGATTTTAATGATCGATGAAACTCGTGGCTTAGAGTTTTTAGCCAAACGAACGAATGAAGGAACGATCTGATAGCTGATAACAGAGAATTGAAATCACCGACAACATCGTTTCAGAAATCATAATCGGTGATTTCAATAGAAAACTCTGTAAGACAGGTCATGGTGAAAAAGTTTAAGAATTGTGATAATATTTATAACGTCACTCCGCCGTTTCATAATCTACTTCAGAGATATAATTGAACAACGTGTAATCAGAAGACTGGGGATCGTGTATGTTTTACATCACATAAAAACCCGCAAGTCTACAAGCCAAATGTAAGGTGACGTTCTCTCGACGTTATGAAAAGAATACTGAAAAACGTCAGGCAAGATTGGACCAAGTTAATTAAATTGGAACCGATAAAAACTCCGAAGACGATACCTCGAAATTAACTACGCGTTCGGAAAAAGACAGGAACGGCTGGTAATTGAAACAAATTGCGAACGACGCGCCGGGAACTCGACGGTGGCACTTGCATTTCTGCACCGACTTCCGCTCGGAAATTGTTACATGCTAATGAAACTATTTGATCGCACGCGCGATAACTCGCACGCGAGCCTCGAAAAACTTGCTCCGGTTTCTTACTCAAAGTATTCGATACCAAACAACAATTTCAAGAGGATCGTTCGTACTCCTGGCGAAAAGTTTTTCTTTTATCAACGCGGCAATGTAACATTTAATTTAAGTAATGAAAACAAGGAGACTCGTCTGCCTGTAATTTCATTTCACGTATTAGGTTCGTCCCGAAACTTCTCGCCAGGGCGTTACGTTGGAACGTCACCTTTCGTGTATCGTCCTATACGGGTTGCACAGTAATCCCGGAGAAAATCCTAATGGGAACGCCTTTTCATTTCCCGAGAAATTTTGCTGAAACTCGCGATTACGTATCGTCGACACGTAGACACCGTTATAATTTCCCACGTGGAAACCCCAGCGATTGTCCCCTGTCGTGTCCTGTCCTACCTTTGATTTCTACGTGCTTCGAGCATGAAGTGTTTCCGACGATGTGTCTTTCGCACGTTATCGTAGAGACGCAACAGTTAAGAAAAAAAAAATAAAGAGAGATCAAAGAAAAAAAAAACAATTGCGAACAGAAAGGAACGAACAAAATTACACACAGGCTCTATGGTATTAGAAAACAGTGATGAGTCGTTCCGGGGGTAGAGAAAAATGGTATGTATCACTTTCTGGGTATTCCACTCTACGGATGCAAGATGCTCATCCACTAAAGTTCTGCTAAGTTCTCAGGAAGTGTCTATCCTAAGGGAAAATCTGACATCATGTAAGTGTGATTAGATTATGCATTCGAGAACTTCGAATACTTCGTCCGATGCATGGGAGGACGTGGTCTCGGTTAGTGTGTCGAGCATTTAGGTTGAAAAACGAGTATGCTAACGGGAGATCGGTGTACAATACGTTACACGTATGCATACAGACATGAACTCGTGTGGTGTTCATACTTTTGATTTTGGAACGGCGTTCGCGACTGCTCGTTATTATTATAGAAAAGATAATTAAATAATAATTACGGTTTACGTAGAAATTCCTTAAACCCGACGTGCATTCTTGGTACTCTTTATACATATGACAGTCTTTATGTTTGTTTCAATTTTTGTATATTAGGTAAAATTCTAAGTCTGTTAATTGGCTGTAGTTTGGTTCATTACGTTTCGTTCCAAAATGTGGAGCATGAAAATGCGAGGAGGAAGAGTGAGCCACGTTTGCGTTTCGCTCGAGTCTTTTTTAAACAGAATGGAGGCGCTACATAGTGTCAAGAACTAAACGCACAATTATCATTCATATGCGCTATTCGTCAGTGGACCTAAACAGTTGCGGCTAATACCGTGTCTAAACTACCAATATAATTTTCTCCTCGTTTTAAAAACTCAATGAAGATCACGGAGCAGCGCCAATTTGAAACTTAAGAAATTTTCTGGGACAAAGAACGATGAAAATGAATGACGCAGACTATTCAGAGAAAGATCCATAGAAACACGGACCGGTTGATGCTTGCAATTTCGTTTGGGTTCAATGATCGTCGATCGAGCTCGATGATTAATTCTCACTAAAAAGGGAGACTTCAATGATTGCCACTTGGGCAATGATGAGGAGAAAACTGCTTGAGTCCACTGCGACGACAATTTGCGTTACCCAGACTCTCAATTGGTATCTCTCGTGTGCGAATCAAAAAAATTTCTATGTCTTTACATTAAATGACAGTTCTTATTAATCCATTCTTTTCTTCAACAAATACAATTTTTCTATAAATGAAAATCCGCAGTCAACCCTTAATTTTATTATTTTATTAAAGAAGTCGAGTCGTGGGTAACGCAACAGTCCTTGCAGGATATGAGGTGCGAGCCAAGTGCATCGACTATGAGGTATAGCACGAAATTGTGAACGAGTATAGTATACTATACATATAATCACGAATTGGTTTATCGGTGTTCAGAACGAGCGAGGGTGAAATTTTTTTAGAGAAATAAATCCCCGGGGGAACGATGAGACTGTGAGACCGGGTCGGCGTCTCGAGGAGAGTTTCGAGGTCTAGTCGTGTTGCCAACGATAGTGAATCGGCGAAACGTTGTAAATTTCACCTCGCTGCTCCGATCGCGTTTAGAGAAGGCAAGGGGAGGGCTCTAATCCGTTCGGTGCACGAGCAGGAATGATCTTTGATGCTTCATTCCGCGACCCCGAGAAAATTCCTTTTTAGGAAAATACTAAACATTTTATCACGATTTATTTATTTTCTTTTTAAATATAAATTCTCAGGAACTTTAAACTTGTACTAAAACTGTTCTCTGTCCCACTTTTATTGTCTCGTGCAGCCACCTAAAACAAGTAATTCCGCCTGCTGGCTCTGTACGCAGAGTGGCGTCTTAATAAATGCGTGCGGGGTCACGTCGTGAAGCACCACTCGAAAAAACGAAAGGGCAAATGAACCGAACCTTTATATATGTAGATATATATATAGGTATATATGTACACACGCACATGACAAGGGGGAGAGAGAGAGAGAGAGAGTTTAAGTGCAAGAAAACGGGGAACGTAGAACAAGGTTTATGGATGAACAGAGAGACGGCGACAGAAGAGGAGAGAATAAGAAGAGACACATATAGAACGGAGTGTCGGAGACAGGGAAACAGAGACAGAAACAGAAAGACAGAGGGGTTGGGTGGGCGTAAAATTTAATAGGACATATAAAAGTACTGTCTGTCATGGTCCATGAAGCGCTGAAGAGGGCCGGAGGTACTTACCCTGTGCATCATACTTACTGGAAAAGTTCCTCGTCGCCAGTATGGTGGTCAGAATAGCGCCCTGTGAACAAAAAACCAACCGGCGATTATTCCCCTCTCGTTAATCGAGACTGCTAAACCGAGAGTAAGAAAGTCGTTTTAACAGCTGGCCAGAAGTTAATCGCTCGGGATAAGCTCGAGCAGAATCCCGGCCGGGGACAGAGTTAACACGTTTGAGATCGTCGACGCAACTGTTGTGTCATTGGGAAAGATCCGCCGGTTTCGAACGCATTAATTAAAAAAATCATTTGCGAATAATCAAATGGTTAAAATTAATAGAAGATACGTGAGAGAAAATTTTGAACATGTTTAAACCAACAGAGAGACTGAAGAACCGAGCATGCAAATTCTCCGAGGACAAACGATATTAAATGCGAACGAGGCATCGTTTAATGCACCTTCTTTGTACACTGCAGATGACATTTCCGGCTGGCAATATTGCGCGTTATTATAACCGGTGAACATCAGACTCGAACGACGCACTGAAACGACCTAGCCGCTCGTGTAATTTCTTACATGGAACTGCAATCGTTATCGGTACGCTTGCCAGAGAGCTACGGGAGTCGATGGATTAACGGCCCAGCCGTTACCTGGTTCGGTGTCTTTTATCTAAATTAAAACAGCGACCTGTTACTCGACGTACGCGATATCTTACGGAATCCCGTCCTTGGGCGTTTTAAAATGCGAAACGGAACAATATCTTTTATTCATCGGCCACTCGCTGATGGAAATTGTCATTTCTTTTCGACATCTCGTTAGATCACCCGAGCTCTCGATAATACCATCAATTCAAGAGTAACGCGTAATTATTGGAAAAGTTTCCATACAACTGCTTGCAAATGAAACACGACGAACCCTGAATACTTCTAAGAAAATTAGGTCCTCTCGAATTGTATGATTTCGAATGTGCATCTCAGTTCATCAATCTTAGGGCACGTATAGATTTTATCTTTTATATTCCACACGTTCTTTCTGTAAGCATGATTTATCGTATGTCTACAAACCGTATGATTTATTTAATGATTTAATTAAGATAATCTCTCATGTTTACCAAGTCGTAACATTTGTCAGACTTTTAATAGACAACAAGTGCCTGGAAGTGTCTTGGGAATTATGAACAGAAGTGTATATTTATTCGAACGTGATATCTCGCGTCGTGAAATCTGATATACATTTACTACCTGAATCGCGTGGACAATTAAATAACGAAATTACAGTGGCGCACACGCGAGGGTTCCCCGGGAATCGGAAGCAACACGGGGACAGAGCGAGAGGGCCGCGACAAATACGAGAGGCGTGCGAAGGCAAACAGAGCTAATAAGAGCGACGTCGATACAACGTTTGTCGTATCGCGTTCGAGCATCCAGAAAATATTTACGACAAATATTTGCCGACAGAACAATCGATTTCGATTAGAGGCCGGCTTCTATTTTCGTCCGGCGCGCCGTAACACAGCGCGTCGCGTATTTAAATTTCGATTATTAAACTTCGCAGCAGTCTCGTAACAGAGACGCCGAACCACCCTCTCACCTCCCGCCAACTTCTATTACATATTCATGCACTGCGCACGCTGCGCTTCTTGTCCTGTTCGCAAGACACGTGTAGATAAACGAGAATCACTTCCTTCGCTAAGGTTGAACAGATTTCGTCGATCCACTTGAGACAACGTTTATGAGACCAGGTCATTTCGATTTAGATCACGTCTCGAAATTTTCTTGCCTGCCATTTTAAACTTTTCTCTTGGATATCATTTCTTATTTAATGAATAACTCGTGTACTTCGGCATTGAATTATTAAGTTGATGAAAAAGTTTACTGTATCTCGACGCGAGATTAATATTAATATTTATGAAGTTCAGATATTAAGATATAAAGACATGTTCAAAAAACTGTCTCCAATTATTGAATAGCGATGAATGACGCAACAGTTGCGTCTCGATAACATAAAAGTGACTCGGAAAAGAGTACATAATTTTTTAGCTCAGCTGCGACTCGATAATGAATAACATCCAAAAAAAATTGATGTCATTTGGGGTGATTAACATAATAAATCCGCGCGTAGCGTGCAAAAAGAGTTCGTTAATATTCATCGAAACTGCGATCTCCATAAAGAAACGGGCAACCCCGTTTTGCCCGAAAGCCATTAAAAGCTTCGACTAAATAAAAAATTCTACAAAAAGGCGAAAGAGTAACGCTCCGCCCTTTAATTGTTGCATTGTGCATTTTGATGTGTTTCTAGGAAAATTGTAAAAGATAGAATATCCAGGAACATGTCAGAAAATTAAAACTGTTCGCTACTTCATCTTTTTTTAATCATTCCATGAAAGCGTTTAATTAGAGAAAAGAGAAGATACACGAAAAAGATAAATCAGAAGTAAAGATAACTCATGTAGGTTTGACGTAGATAAACGAAACAAGAAAACATATTCCTTATAAAGGATGAAACATTTTTCTAATTAAATTTCATTACTTGATATGAAAAACGTTTTATTTCGTATAAAAATCCACAGTCTATTAATTACAGTAACAAGTTCTCATCAGGAGAATTAAATTCGATTTATCGACACGCGATTACCGTGGGAAAAGGTTGAAACAGTTTCCCTTCCTTGGTTTTTGAAACGATTCGAGAGAAAGAGAGAAAAATAATAGAAGGAAATGGCAAAAAGTGTCGATCGAAGGTAACCGGAATTGAGTGTTTCCTTTGAGTTTCCGACAAAGCGGACGCAACCAGAATGGGATTATCGTGTTCGAGTTTCGAGTTTTCGACGATTGAACAAACTCTCGAAAAAAGAAGGGCGTCGTATTAATAACCGTGATCGAGCTTCAAACTTTTTCCATTTTCCCACTTTTTTTCATTTCGTATCATAAAACTTAACCGATGTCGTAAAATGTATAATCGACTAAAATGTATATCAAATTGCTATTTCAGATTTTTGCTAATATATGCAAAATTAAAAAATACCCATTAAATGAAATTATTACATAAATTTAATTTTTGATTAACAGAGACGTGGCAAATACCTCAGGAACAGTGGATTCCTGTTGCTTGCACGACATGAATTTGTTTCTGAACGCCTTCATCTTCGACATTCTATTCATTTTAATTCCAGGACTTTCAGTAAAGATGATGTTTGTGCTTATTAACCCAATTAACCGGAAGAGGAACTTATGTAAAAAATTTATTCGTTCCAACAGGGATCACGAAATTCGCGTGGCATTAATTAACAGCTGCTACCACTGGTTTACACGTCACAGTTTAATCAACAAACGAGCCTGCGCTCTTCACGGACGGGAACGAATTTCACCGGGTGTTCGTCGATTAATATTCGGCGTGCATCGAGCTCGCGTACACTCGCCATACCTGCCCATTCAACGAATAACCGTATCGTTTTCATTCGACGCGATCGCCGCTGCAGTTTCGCGTTCACAGAAACAGGCCACTTGAACGGCAACGCGCGATTCCAACGCCAATTCGAGCGACACTGTCTCGCGTAACGACAATGTGCGATCGTAACAGCTGGACAGAAATGACCGACTAGAGATTGGTAGGGGAACCGGAAGTCCACGAATTTCCAATCAAACCAGATCTACGCGGAGAAGACTTTTTGCAAATGCGAAACCGGCATTTCTTTACCTCGAAAGATCGCGTCTCTTACTTGTATCGATTTCGAATTGAAGCAGTGTTGTAATTGAAATACAATCGGCAAAGTTACGTAATTACTAGACTCCAGATTTTTATGCAAAGTGAAACGTTTATATTGTAAACGTATATATGTTATCAGTCTTAGAAGAAATTCTTTTCTAGCATTTAACCATTGCGATATGCATTTAATTTTTGCACGTTTTCTGATACACGATTACTCGTTCCTTATCATAAAAGAGAATTTCACGTGGAGGCTTATATATATATATACCAACTCAACTCAAACAAAAATACGTTAGAACAGACAATACATAAACATACATTTCTTCCAGAAGAAACTACAATATGTATATTTACATACCCGCACACGTTCAATGTATCTAATAATTAAATTGAAAAAATTGTTTATCCAAGACATTTAAGCGGCCTCCTGTAAATTACTCAGTCGTATCAAACACTCCGAAAATCATGCGATCTAACAATTAGTATCTAAAAATTATTCCGTAGCACCTACAGCGACTATCGATTAACGAAAAGAGGTCGAATGAAGAAGTGAACTCAATTTCGAGTTTCCTATGACCAGTCTCGCGACGAGGATTCGTATGAACGTCGGGTGGCGCGAGGAGACCAATGATTAAACGCTAAACACCGGTTTACCCTGACACAAGGTCGGCTGACTATAGATCATTTAACGGACTGGCGCACCTTAACACCCGACGTCGAATCGAAACTTGCGTGTAACTAGTTAGCCGGAGTTCCGGTACGACACGTTCACCAGCGAATTTCCGTTGTTAATCGAGAAACTCGCGACCTCCTGCGACCGGCCTCTAATTACTAGTCGCATACGCGAATCCTGTCCGTCCTTACTACGATTTAACGATTTATTGTTATTTGAACGAACTTCACCGAATTAAATTCTCTATTGCAATTTTGACAGATTAGCTCGATCAGAATGTGCTACTATTATTTGCACAGCCTCAAAGCTGGCTTTAGACGTTTAATTAAGCTTGAAACATGTTAATTTCAGCTTCATTAAATAAATTATATTACAAGCTTATGTACACTGTGTGAATCTCCTTCAATCATTCATCCATGTTTTATTTCTAGTATTTCATATTTCGAGCGAAACAATCTTTCGTGATTAATAAGAGAATCACGTAATTACGAGTGTACAAATGCTAAAAAGATTTACCAGAAAATCTGGATGCACTACAAGTATCTGTTAAACCTCTCAGGCTTGCCTGTATAGACACACTTGTATAGATTCGAGTGTCTGTAGTCGGTTTCAATCGAAAAGAGGACAATGATTAAAGAGTACTCACTTTTAATTTGCGCCTTGCGTTGAATTTCTTCAAACAATCCACAGTCTCTTGCCTGTGGACGACGGACGCGACGCGTTCACGTTGCTGTAACACAAAAACGAGAGGGACGATTGATATTGTGTCGTTTCCAGCGTTACCGGATGATGGATCGACCAGCGGTCGGACAGATTTTACTTACGCAAATCCAGGGATGTTTCAGTGCGTCGCTGGCGGTGATCCTTTTGCTCGGATTCACCGTCAGCATCTGATTGATTAGGTTTTTCGCTTCCGGCGTTACGGTGTCCCATTCTGGGCTCGGGTACTGCGAAACAAACGTGCCACGGATATCTTTAACTGGTGCAATCGATATGTCAGATGATTACGTCGCTTCCGAACGACGTTTAGTAATGATTATTTATTAGACTCTAGATTTTACGCATTTACAAAAAATATATACGCTAAGTCAATAAGAATAGCTGCTTAAATTGATTATTCTATCAAACTAAATTCTACTATTTCGGATTACAGTTTTTATTGATTCTCCCTAAATCTAAAGTCACGATGTTTAATGCTTCTATCTAAACTTGAATTTTTTCGATTGACGTAAAAGCTTGATTTGACGTAAAAATCCACAGTTTGGTAAAAATGCTTACGTCGTAGGATCCAGCCTTGATCTGCGCGTACAGCTTGTGCTGATCCTCGTCCCAGAACGGCGGATAACCGACCAGGAGGATGTAAAGTATGACACCGCATGCCCAAATGTCGACCGGCTTGCCGTATGGTTCTTTTCTGAGGACCTCCGGGCTGAGATAACCGGGCGTCCCGGCAAAACCTTTTCACGGGTCATTTCGCGTTACTCCTCGACAAAAATCTCATCCGCGTTTCGGAGCATTTAACATCCATACACCCCTCGCCCTCCACCTACTTCTTCGCAAATTTATTCCGGTGCTTTCAAATCCGTGCGTTTAAGAACTTCGAGATTAGGTTACTTTCAGGAACTCTCGACGATGTTAAACGCTCCCTCGACGGTGGAGAAAAATTGAGGAACGGGAAACTCGCGGCGGGAAATTAGTTGCAATTCCGTGGGGATGAAAATCGATGCTGATCTCTTGGGTCATTTCCAAGTGTTAAAAAAAAACTGATAAATATTCGGAATTAATGACCATCTACCTCGGTTGAAAGACTAAATTCAGATTCTGATTAGTTTGAAATTACATTTTTATAACGTTTCATTCCGTTTTATGTTTTGACGTTACGTCCCAAGGCCTGTGGACGGGGGTGTACCGCGGAAACTCTCCGCAATCAAAAGTTTCGAATTTCGCGCTTTCGACAAGGGAGAAACCACGACCTCGGCCGATGTCAGGGAGCGTCGAGCGAATTTCGAGCTATCGGCTTTTCGAGAACGGAAACGAACGTCAGCGCGTTTGAAACCGGTCGAACGGCCGCTCGTTCCGATAAACGGCCGGTGGATGGATGGAAAGTGGCGAACGTTGTTCCGGAGATTCCGACCATCAAACTAGCTCCTATCTATCGATACCGTTTTTATCGAAGCGTATCTGTTCGCCGCATTGTTCCATCGATATAATTTACAGATTCATTTGTCGCGGGACAAAGACGTAATAAATTCCTCTGCGTTGCCACAATAAATGCAGATCTATATACCTATGCTATGTTTCAGGACAGAGTAAAACTCGAGACAATGTCCCAGCTTTCAATAATTTTTTATTCATTCCACAGATTTCCAGAATTCCCAGAATTAATCCTCTTTCGATTACTATAAATCTAAGTTAATTAAATAATATCTTGATCTAACTAGGATGCGAATTGTTTAATTGTAATGTATTATAAAATTGCCGACAATTTCCGTTTTACCAAATATTTTTACGTTTCGCTAATAAGATTATTAATCTCGTAAATTTTAAATAATTCAAAATATGAATATGAAAAATAATACAAGCTGTGTACGTGATATACAAAAATACAGAATGCCAAAAAGAAGATAAAACTTTTGTACGTTCCACAAAAATCTGCTATCCTACGTTTCAAAGTTAATTGTTGCATATTACACCGGGTCAGAGTATGCTTCATCCACCGGCCGGAAAAAAATGTGGGTGCTCGAAATTTCCGCGAGCATGCGTGCAACGATTTTTACCACCAGGCGATGGAAACCGCAATCCGGTTCAATTGTTAGCGAGTGGAAGAAAAACAACATTCAATCTCCGGAACAATATGGTCGGAGTCTCGGAGGACGAGGTAGCTCGGTGGAGTCTGTCGGATTCGAGAACTGGAGTGGTTCTTTGACCGCAAACACAATACGAAAATCTCCGAGAATCTATTTTGCCTGTGAAAACGCGGAAACTTTTCCAATAGCACGGCGTACTTCCGTTCGCGGAGTTTCCCCAGTCGAAAAACAAACGCGAACCAGGCCGTGACACGGGCTGAGCGTATATACATGCGCGCGTAAACCTGTGTACGTACGGAGGAAGACGGAAACCGCAGGGTGAGAAACGAATGGAAATGTCAACGAGCTGAAACGGCTACGCGGAAATCCAACCGGATGTGAATAACTCGACCTCGCCGTTTGCGAATGTATGATTTTTATAACTCTTGCGAGGTATTAGCGGATAAAACCGAGACTCGTATATCTAACTCGTAGTCACTGTTGCATATCATCATTCTGTACCATCGTTGCGTGCCATATGCATATCACGAGTCTTAAGATGTACCATAAAATATACAGATCGAGTCCATAAGAATTACTGACTCCATTTCCATTTACTGATTGCAGTACAAAACCCTTTATAAAAATCTATTATATATGTACATGACTCATGTGCGATATTCGTCCATTCATATAAATTCAGATTCTGATTAGTTTGAAATTACATTTTTATAACGTTTCATTCCGTTTTATGTTTTGACGTTACGTCCCAAGGCCTGTGGACGGGGGTGTACCGCGGAAACTCTCCGCAATCAAAAGTTTCGAATTTCGCGCTTTCGACAAGGGAGAAACCACGACCTCGGCCGATGTCAGGGAGCGTCGAGCGAATTTCGAGCTATCGGCTTTTCGAGAACGGAAACGAACGTCAGCGCGTTTGAAACCGGTCGAACGGCCGCTCGTTCCGATAAACGGCCGGTGGATGGATGGAAAGTGGCGAACGTTGTTCCGGAGATTCCGACCATCAAACTAGCTCCTATCTATCGATACCGTTTTTATCGAAGCGTATCTGTTCGCCGCATTGTTCCATCGATATAATTTACAGATTCATTTGTCGCGGGACAAAGACGTAATAAATTCCTCTGCGTTGCCACAATAAATGCAGATCTATATACCTATGCTATGTTTCAGGACAGAGTAAAACTCGAGACAATGTCCCAGCTTTCAATAATTTTTTATTCATTCCACAGATTTCCAGAATTCCCAGAATTAATCCTCTTTCGATTACTATAAATCTAAGTTAATTAAATAATATCTTGATCTAATTAGGATGCGAATTGTTTAATTGTAATGTATTATAAAATTGCCGACAATTTCCGTTTTACCAAATATTTTTACGTTTCGCTAATAAGATTATTAATCTCGTAAATTTTAAATAATTCAAAATATGAATATGAAAAATAATACAAGCTGTGTACGTGATATACAAAAATACAGAATGCCAAAAAGAAGATAAAACTTTTGTACGTTCCACAAAAATCTGCTATCCTACGTTTCAAAGTTAATTGTTGCATATTACACCGGGTCAGAGTATGCTTCATCCACCGGCCGGAAAAAAATGTGGGTGCTCGAAATTTCCGCGAGCATGCGTGCAACGATTTTTACCACCAGGCGATGGAAACCGCAATCCGGTTCAATTGTTAGCGAGTGGAAGAAAAACAACATTCAATCTCCGGAACAATATGGTCGGAGTCTCGGAGGACGAGGTAGCTCGGTGGAGTCTGTCGGATTCGAGAACTGGAGTGGTTCTTTGACCGCAAACACAATACGAAAATCTCCGAGAATCTATTTTGCCTGTGAAAACGCGGAAACTTTTCCAATAGCACGGCGTACTTCCGTTCGCGGAGTTTCCCCAGTCGAAAAACAAACGCGAACCAGGCCGTGACACGGGCTGAGCGTATATACATGCGCGCGTAAACCTGTGTACGTACGGAGGAAGACGGAAACCGCAGGGTGAGAAACGAATGGAAATGTCAACGAGCTGAAACGGCTACGCGGAAATCCAACCGGATGTGAATAACTCGACCTCGCCGTTTGCGAATGTATGATTTTTATAACTCTTGCGAGGTATTAGCGGATAAAACCGAGACTCGTATATCTAACTCGTAGTCACTGTTGCATATCATCATTCTGTACCATCGTTGCGTGCCATATGCATATCACGAGTCTTAAGATGTACCATAAAATATACAGATCGAGTCCATAAGAATTACTGACTCCATTTCCATTTACTGATTGCAGTACAAAACCCTTTATAAAAATCTATTATATATGTACATGACTCATGTGCGATATTCGTCCATTCATAATGCTTCGCAACGGTGATAAGACACAAGAATATATAATGAATAAATAATTGAAATGAAGGAAAACAGGGCTTACCGAACCATGCCTGAGCATCGCCCTGCACCTCGATCGCCAATCCGAAGTCCGCTAATTTCACAGCCGCACCCTTTATCTTACTTGCCAGGAGTAAATTTTCGGGCTGCAACAGGAAGCAGACTCGTCGACTATTCCTATTTGACACTCTTAGCGCAAAGAGCTGTCACCGTTCTCCTGCATTTTTACACGCGGCCATGCTGTAGGTTGATCCACCAACAGGAGATAATACGTACAACCATGCTTTTCACAGACGCTCCTACTACCCTTTTTAACCAAGTTAATAGTACTTTCTCGCGAACTTCCAACGATAATAATTTCATTGTACAGGATAGAAATCTATATTGTACTGATCTTATATCTCAGCACACTTTATCTTCATCTGTGCAATAATTCGTTTGTACTCTTTTCAACAAACCCACGTTTCATTCTTTTTACGTTGAAATTTTTCTGTTCAATTTAATTGACTTTGCGAAGACAGTAATTCGATTATAAAATGCAGGGATTTCAAAATCGAAGTTTGAAAAAGGATCGCGTTTATTCGTGCACGCGTATCGCCGACCTTCCTAGACTCTTTTTTATTTTCAACTAACCCGAGTACGTTTCGAGTATCATGCACCAAAATATGATACGTTTAACCGAGGGTTACAGGAATCTGAGCTAGATTCCATTGTACCGGATGCTCTCAGAGCATGGCGGTCTAGCTGGCTCGTTTGAACGATCGTTTATTTACGTACTTTCAGGTCCCTGTGCACAATTCCATTGTGATGGCAGTGGTTTACGCTTTCCAGAATTTGTTGAATACAGTGCGACGCGTCCGCCTCGCTGTAGAATTCTCGCGCGACGATATCTTCGAACAGTTCGCCGCCGGTTACTCTGTAAATTATCACGCGAAACTCTTTCTCGTGAGAGTCCAACAAAATCGTAACCCGCTCATAACTGTACGCATCGAATCAGCATCCATTAAAGCTTACGGATTTATTTTCTACGTACATATAACTCATTGGATTCTGGACCAACGTACAGTGGATGTATAATGAAAATATTCGAACCACGTGAAGTATTCGAGGAAGTATTTGTATACGACCTTTTTTACACATAATAGAAGTACCTACAACTTTTATTT